CCCCAAAACCCCAAAACCCCAAAACCCCTTAAAGAAGAATATTATTTATTGATTGAGATCCGGAATTAATTAAAATAATAATGAAAATTATGAAGAGCTTTTATGATAAAATATGTAATATATAATTTAAAAGCCAATTAAAATGATTGTGAGCACAGACTATGTCTATGAATCAGGTAAAGGAACAGCAATGTTTTCTAAAAATGGAAGACTGACTAGCTTTCAACACAAGGTCTTCACAGATCCAGTAGAAGGCTACAAGAAATCAACGAGAAAAGAAGAGGAGATATCGATACCTGATGAACTAGTAGGCAAGAATGAATACCTGCCCATGATACTATAATAAGCAAATAAATAAAATTACCTTGAGAGATTAAAAACTCAAAATAAGGTAATACAGCAATAATAAACATTGATGAATGGAACTGACAGAGGAGAGATGAATAAATCTGAACTCAATCAGGAGAATCAAGAAGAGAATGAACTGGGAAGCAGAAATAAGAGATCTAACTATAGTCCTGTTGGAGGTAGTTACAGCTTTAAGGCGATTTCCAGAAATAGATCAGTGATTGCTGATAGATATTATGGGACAACTGATAATCCTGATCCTGCTCATTATAGACCAAATAATCAGCCACTGGAAAGAAAGGAAATGACTTTAAAGTTCAAATACTCAGAGGAACACAAAGCAAGGCAAAAGTTAGAGAGAATTCCAGAATGCGTTCAAGCAAACATGTAATTAAATAAAACTCTTACAAAATAATTTAATTAGGGCTTGCACACTTGACATCAGGAAAGCTGTAAGACTAGGCTAAAAAGGCACCATTACCTTGAAACCAATACAAGAGGATGAAATGTAAATGACCAGAGAGGAAGTTCAAAATCAAAAGAAAGGCTACTACTCCAATTAAATGGGCAAATTAAACATACCCTTCGATAAAGTTAAAGACAGAACTCCAAATGTGATGCTATGCAATCCTATTCCGCATGACATGAGATTTGAAGTTCCGAAGTATGACCTTGGAATTCTTTCATAGAATTAGAAGACTGATTATCCCACATTAGACAAAGTATCTCCCAGAGGAGAGCTATTTAAACCAAAAGAAAGGCTGCTATAATATGACGTGAATCTCGACATGACTTAGCAAAACAGTAAGAAGGGTGTGCTAGAATTTTAGAAGATTACTAAAAGGAAGCCAAATGATAACAGCAAGCCCTATCAAACTCCAGATGGATATGATCATTAATCTTTGGAAAGAGCTTACTAGCAAACAAGCGATTACAAAAGACCACTAGGAGTTGTGCCTATTGATAAAACTTATCCAAGAGATGACTCAATGTATAAGTACTCTGAAGAGGCCTTGAAGATTATGAAAAAGAAAAATTTGAAGAAGGATTTTTCGTTTATCTCTTATCTACCTCACAGTGTAATGAAAAGTGATCACACCAGCAGAAATTCATTAGCTTCTACTGCTCATTCTTTACTATAAATGAGAAGCCAAACAAGAACAAGGAGAGATTCAAATAACGGGGGTACTCGGAATAACTCTGACCTTAGACAGCTAAATCTCTCTAATATAGAAAGACTGGATGGTTCTTTCTTATGTATGGATGAGAAAAAGAAGAGAATAGTGGATTTAAGTAGGATTAACATCACCTCCAGAGAATTCATAACTGGTGAAAGAAGTAATACATCATTTCTTAAGGATAATAAGTTTCTATGATTATAAAATAAGTAAGAGGTATCACATGTTAATTTCATCATTATTATCTGTCATTATTAACTTGCTACAATGTGAACCTTGGGGTTTTGGGGTTTTGGGGTTTTGGGG